GAAGCCTGCCTGCTTCGGCTCCAGTGAGATGAGCCAACTTGCTTCTCCACCATCTCCTAGAGATGCAGATGTTTCTAGCAGTGTTCACAGGGCCCCAGTGAAAAAAATATTCGTGTCCCTTTTGTGGGAATCTGATCCTAAGCTCTTCATACAGTACAAGCCAATCCTAGGGTTTCTGAATAAATGTTTTTGGTATTACATGTACTGGCTTCTCTAAGGTCTGGCTGAAGGAAGCCCTTACCTTAACCAGGTGTGTGGTTGCACACAAGGGTTGAGGCTGGTGCCAAGGGAAGTGGTGCTGCTGTGGTAACCAGTGATTGTGGTAAAAGCTGGATGGCTTCCTGTCTGAGTCCTGTTCTTCCTATTTGCAGGTCACTTTGCATGACATGATCCTCAAAAATATTGAGAAGATCAAGAGGCCTCGGAGCAGCAATGCTGAGACCCTCTATTAAGTGTCAACGTTTGAACTTGAGAACTGTTCAGTCAACTAAAGACCGTCATTGCCTTGGTTTGTTACGTGACTATCGAGATGGGAAACTGGCTGGAAATAGTATTGCATTCTTAGTTAAACTCTAAAGAAATTCTTGCCTAGTTTTGTGATTGGTTTTGTTCAGGTCTCAGGAGCTCTCCCTCTTCCTCTAGTCTCTGGTAGTAGAGGCCATGCTGCATTGGACACCCCAGAGGCTGCTGCAGCCAGGCAGGGACATTCCTTCATGCCTTGCTTCCTACCTGAGTGGGAACAACACTGTAGACCAAGCCCTTGTCCTGTCCCATCTCGTCTGGTGGCTGCACTGGGGTCTCTGGAACAGGGCAAACAGCCGAGCACAAGGGCAGCCTGGTGGTGCCACAGCAGGGAAGCTCTCCCCCCACTGCTGACTGTGGCCAGGTCCCTCTGCCACCAGCTCTGCACTGACCAGGACCCTGTCCCTTGGCAGCTGTGCTCTGGTGCTGCTGAGCCGTCTGCACTCCTTTTCTGGCTCTCTCCTGGCTCAGCAGAGCCTGCCCCACAGGTCTCTGCCTCACCAGTTCTGTCTGGATCAGTGCAGAGCATGAGGCAAATGCTTGGAACTAGAGCTGGTGCTGTCCTGGCTGTCATGAGCTCAGGTGGTTTCTGCCATTTGACTAGAGCCACTTTCTTGGCTAAAACCAATGTTCTTTCACATACGTCCCAGTTGCCCCTTCAGCATGGGTTGCTTTTGCCTGGGCTGAGGGAAGGGAGGGGCTGGAGATCTGATGCTAAAGTCCTAAAATATCTCTGCATGTGATCAGACTGAGTCCCCCTGTCCCTGGCAGTGCTCCCTGGGCAGAGCTGGCTGCCACAGCTGGTGCTTGATGGTGAGGGTGGCTGATACCCACCTGGTACCTTGCAGACCTTGCAGTCTTTCCCCTGCAAAGGGCACACTCCCGTGCCTCGTGACTCCTCTAAGCTGCCAGAACATTTCGTGGTCCATTACAAACCCCTTTGGAAATGACTGGTTGTATTGCGTCAGTTTTTGTGTGTGGCAAGTGGGCCCATAACGCTGCAGGCTTCAAAATTTTCTTATTTATAGTATTTCTACTTAAGTCCCCTAATCAGGGAACATTAAATCATTTGTTTCAGGAACCTCGCTGTTTCCCAGGTCTCGCTGTTACACCTGTATATTCTTATTGTGCAGTAGCCTTAAGAGTTGTGTTAATCTCATTGTAACAACAGTGACGAATGGAATGAACCTTCTTCCCTTATTTTTTTTTACTTTGTTTTTATTTTTTTTTCTCTGCTTCCACATCTAAGAGCCATGTTGTCTCTTGCTGGTTTCCCAGGGATTTGCCCAGAGTGCAGCGGGCTGCTGGCCCTTGCTATAGACTCTTCTGTTGTTGTTTGTAGTAAGTCAATTCTTAGTCTTCCCGCTAATAAATATTCAGTAACAAACCAACTGCGTTGAGCTGCTGTCTGGGAGCAGCATTTCCCCTTGTGTTTCTTTGTATTGGTTCCTTTTAATTTGTTCAGCTTTCTTTGCGAGATGAACGTATGTAAACTTTTACCATGTCAAGAAATTAAAATAAGGTACTTGGAATTCTTTCAAGGCAGCCCCCTGTGTGTGATGCTGGGGTCTTAGGCCATCCAGTTTTAGTGTCCAATTCTGGTTCTGCCTTTCTCACATTCAGTTGCTCCTTCCCTTCATTCTCCTCAATCCTCTTTTTGACTGTGTTATAAACTAATCTGCTGTGTAGGTTGTTTCTGTTCCTTCAGCATGCCTCACATTGGGCAAGATTTTGCCCATGGGCTTGGGTTTGATGGAATCTGTCTCATCTCAGCCCAGTGTGGGACTTGGGCTGTCCCAGTTCAAACAGGCATGGGGACGTTGTATGGTGTTTCTCTGAGCCTGCAGTTGCTCCAGGGTTTCTCTGCCAGGCAGGTGTCTTCTGGGCAGGTGTCTCTTGGCTGTCCTGGATGCAGCACCTGGTGTCTCTGTGGGGCATACAGCTCCTGGCTGCTCCCTGCATGTGGTACCCAAGGAGAGGCAGCTGCCCTGCTGTCCCCAGCCACAGTGCCCTCTGCTCTTCTGGGATCATCCTGTTACTGCCTTTCCTCCATGCTGGGGCACAGAGGCCTCTCGAGGGGCACTCAAGGCTTTCCTGAGTGTCCTGCCCCCAGCTGCAGGGTGCAGCCCCTCTGAGCCAGCCCCCAGTCCAGGGCTTGGTGCCTGTTTGGGGTTGTGCCTGTCCTGGTCACGGTGCTGCTCAGCAGAGTGTGTGATTGGCCCTGGGACAGCTCCTGCAGACCGGGGCTCCTGGCTGTGGCACCTCCTGCTGCCCAGGAACAGGAGCAGCCGCTTGTGCAGGGAAGTTCCTGCAGCGTGGGAAAGCCCTGCAGGTGCCTGACCTGTGAAGGGAGGGGGCACTGAGCTGCAAACAGGTCTCAGGGCCAAGGCAGCTGGAATGGAGCCCAAAGGAAGGACTGGCTGGGGGGACTTGCTGTGGTGCAGCATGAGGGGCTCCTCACCACAGCCAAAAACCTGAATTCCCAGGAAGGCAGTGCCAACACTCGCATGGAAAGATGGAGCATCCAGGACAATTGTCTTGGCAGGTGCTGGCAAGGAGTGGGGTTCATCTGTGGGAGCAGAAGAGGGTTTGTTGTCTGTGATCCCAGTGAGTCTGGGAGCAGTCACAGTGTGCAGTCAGGGCTCCGCTTCACCAGTCCTTGAGACATCTCAGCTTAAGTGCAGGGGAGGAGAATAATGGCTCAGCAGCACAGCTGGAATGGAGGAAGGGTCAGGCAGGTTCCACTGTTGTGTTTTGCATAAGCTGACCCCATGAGGTGAGGCACTGGGAGTGGGAGCTTTCTAAAGTTTGAGCTCTGTTTTGGGGCTTGCTCAAGCCTTGCTGGTGTTGGGAGTGTTGGCAGGGGTTTTCCTACTGTGCCCTTTCCCTAGCTGTTCCAGTTGCTGTCTCAGAGTTTCCCCAAGCCAAAACCTGTCTGTGGCTGGTTTGGGTAAATTTCAGATGTTATTTTTGCCACCTCTACCTTTGTGTGTGCGTGAAAAACAGCACTCCCTTCTCCCTTGATTTGTTTGGGGAATGTGGGCAGTTTAGCAAATATAAGATGGACAGTGCCTAAAAGCAGCCACGTAGCCAAAATAAAACATGGGTGGGATGTGAGTTCTCCATATGGGATGTGGGTCAGTGATGGGCTGATCACACTGGGGACTGGCATGTGGGAAGCAGTACGTGCACTGAGCAGGTCATAAACAAGTTACGCTGCTGTTATGGAGATGTGCAATTTATTTAATTCTAGGTTAGCTTTCAGCTGCTGCAGGCTGCTTTTGTAGAGGGTACACGAGCAATTCCATGGAGTATGTGGCCCCCAAAGATCCCTCATTGCTTTTCATCAGGCAGCTATTGACACAGGTTCTGACTCTGCAAACTCAGTTAATTACTGTACTTCCTGAAATTCCTACTGCAAGGTGAAGGTAGATTTAAGGCTGTTTTGTTTATTCTGAAACAGAGCTCTTAACCAGAGCTGGAAAAGTCCAGCAGAAACAGACAGTATACAAGAAAACCTAGTATCAGACAAGGCCTCCATGGCAGAGGCAGTGCAGAAAGCTGCCATCCTTATCCAGCAGCCCTGGGGCGTGTGCTGTGGTTGGTTTGTCATGGGGATGTCAGTACAGATTAGGGTTTCTCTTTCTTTCCAAGCCCCCAACATGCAGAGAACCAGGAGTGTTCCCACACTCTATTTTTGGATCTCTCTCAGCCCAGCTGCAGGATTGAGTTGTGATTTGTGGGGCAGGAAGGCCTGTGGAGTTTTCTTAAACTACTGCTGTGCTGCTTGGAAAGGGCCCTTCTGTAATTGCAGCCTGTACCGTGGCTTTGAGGAACTGGAGATGCAAACCCAAGAGATGAAGTCAAACCTGAAGGATTTGCTTTGTACTTCTTGAAGGAAAGGTCCAAACAAGCTTTGTCACGCAGCTGTGGAGGTTCTGCTGCAGTCTCACTTTGGCTCTGCCAGTGTGGCAGCAGAACACTTGTCCCATTCCTAGGAGACAGCAGGTATGTCCTGGCTGTGCTCCAAACCTGCACCAGGACAGCAGTGCTTCTGCTCTGTGCTCCAAATGAAATGGGCACCATATTCCAGGCAGAAACCAAAAGGGAATTTTTCTTCCAAGCCTAACCCCAGGTAATCCTTAAAGCCTCACTAACTTCATGGACTGAAAGAATGACTTGGAAATCAGTGCTGCTTTGCCTTGTTTGGGGTTACTTAGAGGCATTTGATTCTGCTGCTGTGAGCCAAGGAGAGCAGGTACTTCTGCCACCTGTGGCTGCTGTGTCCCATGAAGCCACAGCTCTGTTCTTTCCTGTCCTGTCCCTGCCCATTGCTGTGTCTGTGCTGCAGTGAGCCCCTTTGCTGGCACTGTGACTATGTGAAGGAAGTGCTGTGGCTGTGAGGCTGTCCTGGCGTGGTGGCTGGCGAGGCAGAGCCCTGTGTGCTGGCACAGAGAGGATGAGTGTGTGCCGGCCTCACAGCTGCAGCCTGCCCTGAAGAAGGCTCAGGCTGCCAGTGGTGGTGAGGATAATGGAGTGTGTCCCACAGCAACGTGGCCTTCTGCCTCCCAGTGTGGTGTCTGAGCATGGTCAGGGGACCAGAGGGGCTGAGCCCCAGGCAGGATGTGCCACAGAGGAAGAACCAGGGGCTGGTGGGCACTGTCTCCCATCAGGAAACTGACTCAAGGAAGAGGAGAAGACGAGGGTGATGTGAGGTGAGGCTGGCAGCAGGAGTGGAAATATTGGGTTGAATCTCCAGCCCTGGTTCTCTTGGATGCCTTGTCCTACTCAGCACCAGCTCCGGGACTGTAGCCAAGGTGGTGCGTCCTGTCTACCCCGAGCATCTGCTGCGTGGCAGGACGGAGCACCAAGCCCTTCTGGCTGCCTTGTTCTGCCGATGCCTGTGAACAGCACTGTGAGGCCAGCAGGGACTGTCCTTGGGGTGGCAGAGGGCAGCTGTGGCTGCCCAGCCTGGGCACTGTGGCTTGGAAGCACTGATAGTGGGCACTGCCCTCGGCTGCTGCCAGGTGCAGGTTCAGGGTCATTCTGTCCTTGAGGGAAATTCTTGGAAGCTGCACCTCAGTTTATCTGTGAATTGGAAGCAGAGACAAAGGCTGGATGATCCTGTGGCAGTGCAATACTGGGAATTAATTGGCTCAGAGCTGTTCTGAGGTGCAAACTAAGAGCTGATTGTTCACAGCGCTATGGGGCCTGATTCTCATCCTGAACTGCATCTCCATGCCTGCCAAAGTTTTTCTACTGCTACACAGAAGGATGTGTTTTCAGCAAAGGCTTCCATGAGGAGGACTGAAAAAAATTAAATAAAAAGTAACTACAAGCTTGGAATGGTGCTGCCAGGGAGAATGTTTACAAGGAAACAGCCTGATAAACAAGGAAAATCGGTGAGTTATAAAGAGGTGAAATTGTACAGTGTGGCAACAATTCCCAGTTTGTCAGAGCCTTGCAGTGGTCACAGCCACCTCAGGCAGACTGAGGGATCTCCGTTTTTACAGGCAGCCTCAGGAAGCCAGGCTGGACTGAAAAAGTAACGGAATTATGTGGAACTTGTCTGAGTCACTGACCCTACATCTCCACAAGTTCTTTCAGGGCACTGCCGTGAAGGAGGACAGAAGAGGCTGCAGCTGAGAGATCTGCCCTTTCTGGTCACCAAGGGTTTCAGATCTCCTCCCCTAGCCTCTCCCAGTCTTTTGTGCTTTCTGTGCTAATCCATCCAGTGCAGCATACACTAACAGAGGCAGGAGCTGGAAAGCCTGCTCTGAAAGCCTCTGAATGCTGCTGGACCAGCCACAAGCATGAACCTGAAAACAGTGCTCATCCTCCTTGGTCTGGCATTAGCCACAATATTCGCTTTGGTTTGCGTGTTGCTGACCAGAGAAAGGACGCCCAGAACGTGCCAGCACCTGCCCCTGGAGCAGGAGGACGTCGAGGATGGCCAGAGCCTGGTCTTTGCTGACCTGACACCCGAGGAGATGTCACAAGTGGTGCGGTACCTGCAGGGACACCTCGGGGTGCCGCTGGTTGACGCCTCGCGTGCCAAACCCTCGGACAACTGCATCGCCTCCGTGGATCTGCAGGTGCCCGCCAAGGCAGAGGTGCTGCGGTTCCTGGACGCAGGGGGGGCTCGCCCCCCCCGAGAGGCTCTGGCTGTGCTGTACTTTGGGAACCAGGCAGAGCCCAACATCACCGAGTACGTGGTGGGGCCGCTGCCGACGCCCGCGTACCACCGAGATGTGACGGTGCAGAGGTACGGGGGGAAGGTGCCGTACCACCGCAGACCCACGCTGGCTGTTGAATACAAGCAGGTGGGAGGGTTTCTAAAGAACCAAGTGTTCCCCTCAGCTCCAGCTTTCATGCAACAAGTAATGGAGTATGATGGAGCCAATCTTGCAGTCGTGACAGCTGCTCCCCGTGGATTCCAGTCTGGAGATCGGGTCACCTGGTTTGTGCTGTTTCAGAACGTGAGTGGATTCTTTGTGCACCCGGTGGGGCTGGAAGTGCTGGTGGACCACAGCAGCCTGGACATCTCACAGTGGGCAGTGAGCAGGGTCTTCTACAACGGGCAGTACTACAGGGACATGGCTCAGCTGGAGAGTGCCTACGTGCAGGGTCGGATCAGCGTGGAGAAGGTGAGGAAGGTGCCGTGGGATGGGGACTTCTCATCCATGAAACCCCGAGCTCCTCCGGCTGCGCTGTTCCCTGTGCAGTTTGAGCCGCAGGGTCCCCGCTACAGCGTCAGGAAGAACCACGTGCTGTTCCAGGCCTGGAGCTTTGCCTTTGGGATGAGCGTGAGCACAGGCCTGCGGCTGTTTGACATCCGACACAAGGGGGAGAGGGTTGCCTATGAGCTGAGTGTGCAGGAGGCGCTGTCAGTGTACGGCTCCAACTGCCCGGGAGGGATGTCCACGCGCTACATGGACGGCAGCTTTGGCCTGGGCCGCTACACCTCCCCCCTGGTGCCGGGGGTCGACTGCCCCTACCTGGCCACCTACGTGGACACCCACGCTCTGTCTGACAGCCTGAGGCCCAAGAAGAGGAAGGCTTCGCTCTGCATCTTTGAGCAGAACCTGGGCTCCCCTCTGCGGCGCCACTACTCCAACTTGCAGTCGCTCTACTACGGGGGGCTGGTGAACTCTGCTCTGGTCATTCGGTCCATTGCCACCGTGGGCAACTATGACTATGTGTGGGACTTCATCTTCTACCAGAGCGGGGCCATTGAGGGCAAGGTGCAGGCCACGGGGTACCCAAGCTCATCCTTTCTCCATGGGGATGGCCTGAGATATGGCAATAGGCTTTGGGAGCACACCCTGGGTACCATACATACCCATTTTGTCAACTATAAGGTGGACTTGGACGTGGGAGGTAGGTCTGGATCTTCTTTTAATGTCTGCCATTGTTCTGATAAACCCCTGCGCTTTGAGGTTTGCCTCCTTTTCCATACAATCCCTAATAACTTACATCAGAACTCTGTTTCTTTATTCTGCTAACCTCTCCTTTCATTGCAAAATTATTTTTCGATATATAAAACAGTCTGACAAGGTCATTGAGTGGAAAGCAGTGGGAATTTCTGGGAGCTCTGTGTTCAGCTCAGGGAAAGTATGAAAGGTAGCAGCTGAGAAATGTTTGTGTTTCCTTGAGGCCTCATGTCTGGCACGGTGTGTGTTGCCATAGGCATAGGCGGGCAGACAGGGAGTTGGCCCTGTCTGAGCACAGACAGTGTGAGCCTGCTTTCGCAGCGCCTTGTGCTGGTCCTGGCACTCCTTCTCCCTTGGGAAAATCCTCTTAGTCTCTCACTGTCCCATGTAAAGCAGAGCAGCTGTCCTGGTGCTCCATGGGGCTGAGCTCCTGCAGCTCTCTCCCCTTCTTCTCTTGAGGAAACACACGAGTGTTGGATCCCAAGTGGTGAAGCCGCTACAGCGACCCAGCGAGTTCCCCTGTCCCCATGTTAGTCACAGTCTGGCAGTGGATGTCTGCACAGGGTTATTTGAGCCCAGGAGCAGCCTTCTGCTCACAGCGAAGTGCTGGCAGCCACTCTGGAAGTTCAGGGCTGCTCAGCCTCAGGGGCACTTTTGAGTCCCCCAGAAGGCGATTGTAGCACCTGCAGTCCGGGGACAGTGGGGACACACATGGTGCCCATTATAGAAAACCACTTCTGTAGAAGGCAGAGGGAAAATGTTTTACATCTGAACAGGACCAAAGAGGTCGCTGGTGGGCAGTGGCTACATGTGAACCAGCCCAAAGAGAAACGCAGCCCAGGGATCCCAGCTGTCTCCTGGATTGTGGAAAGTAATCCAAGTGCTATGTTGATCAAGCTGCAGCTAACCCCAGAGCAAGTATTTGGTCCCAGCATGTGTCCTCCTGTGATGCAGGGGTTTGTGTGGCCTTGAAAGGTGCTGTTGTTGTTGTTATGGTCAAAATAAGGGTTGATATTGGTTCCTTCCTGTAAGCAAGGCTTGAGAATGTGCTAAAACACAGTTCCTGTGTGGGGGCAAGGTCCTTTTCTGTGAGTTCAATGCTCTCAGTGCCCCTCTCTGTTTACAGAGCCTGAGCCCTGGCTGCTGTAAAATGCTCTTGAGTAGAAATGTGTAAATCTCAGCCTTGTTCCTGTGGTGAGAGGGCAGCCGTGGTCCAGGCAGGAGGGCTCGGGCCATGCAGGGAACTGGAGCAGTTCCCACAGGAGCCCCCCCTTCCAGCGCCGGGGGCACAGCTGTGTCACAGCTGAAGTGGGTTATTGCCCGCACAGGTCCTTGGATCCTGACCTGAGGCTGGTGTGGGGTTTGCAGGGAAAAAGGGCAATTATTGCCTAGCTGGAAGTGAGAAGGAAAACCTAATTCCCAAATTAACAGAAATGCAAATGGAGTGAATTGCTCCAGTGCTGTGGTGGTTTTGGCCCCTCCTGCCTGTGCCTCAGACTCTCCCCAGCAGCAGGAGGGTGTTTGGTGAGACCTGATCTCCAAAATTCCATCCTTGCTGTCGGTGTGTGTCACTATCTTGCATGGGGCCAGGAGCCTTGCAGGAGCTGGTGGCCATGTAGGAGCAGCTGCCTCGCCCCATATCTGTCCAGGGCAGCTCTTGGGCAAAGATCACCTCTGCTGGAATGGGACAGGAATGGTTCAGCAAGCGCTGCCTTTTCTCACCAGGGATCTGCCTCTGGTCTGCCCACAGCCAGAGCCAGGCTGGACCTGCCAGGTCCCTTCCTTCAGGGCTGGGAGGGGTTTGGAGGCAACAGAGAATGGTGACAGGAAGAACTGGCATGGAGAGATGCTGGGAGCCAGCAGGTCTCAGGCTGTGCCAGCACAGACTGGCCCCTCAGGGGAGAGGGGCTGGTCCAGGGTGCAGAAGGACCAGGCAGGCTGAGCCTTCCCCTGTGCCATCACCACAGCCCCACAGGAGACAGAGATGGAGCATCCTGGGAGACACTGAAAGAAACAAGGCCCCTAGGACAGATGAGACTGAGGCTTTTTGTGGTGTCACCCTGCAGCAGAGAAACCCATCAGTACCTTGGTGAGTGAGCCAGGCACTGGCTGCTTGGCTGGCTCCTCTGGTGCATCTGGAGTGGGGAGGAAACAAGCCAGACTGGCTGGGACCTGTGATCTCCTCTCAGAGCCCCATGGGAGCTACAGGTTCCCTCCCCACCTCACAGGCAATGCTGTTACACCCACAGTTGCAAATGAATAAGGAGCCTGGTCTGCAGGTGAAGGACGTGCTCTGGATCCTTCAGCCAAACTGCATCTGCTGTCACCGCACTCGGAGTGATGAACCCCAAACTTCCCTACGTTCTCCTGGTCGGGGCTGCAGTGATAATCTTCATTCTGTCCTGCATGCTGCTGAGCAGGGGTGGGCGATCGCCCAGCTGTGAATCCCAGCCCAACGTTGTGGAGAAGACAGGATCCATGAGCCAGAGCCTGGTCTTTGCTGACCTGACACCCGAGGAGATGTCACAAGTGGTGCGGTACCTGCAGGGACACCTCGGGGTGCCGCTGGTTGACGCCTCGCGTGCCAAACCCTCGGACAACTGCATCGCCTCCGTGGATCTGCAGGTGCCCGCCAAGGCAGAGGTGCTGCGGTTCCTGGACGCAGGGGGGGCTCGTCCCCCCCGAGAGGCTCTGGCTGTGCTGTACTTTGGGAACCAGGCAGAGCCCAACATCACCGAGTACGTGGTGGGGCCGCTGCCGACGCCCGCGTACCACCGAGATGTGACAGTGCAGAGGTACGGGGGGAAGGTGCCGTACCACCGCAGACCCACGCTGGGCAGTGAGTACGAGCAGCTGAGAGTGTTCCTAAAGAAAAAAGCATTCACCGCAGCACCAACCTTCATGCAACAAGTAATGGAATACGACAGAACCAATCTGGCAGTCCAGACAACAGCCCCCCATGGATTCCAGTCTGGAGATCGGGTCACCTGGTTTGTGCTGTTTCAGAACGTGAGTGGATTCTTTGTGCACCCGGTGGGGCTGGAAGTGCTGGTGGACCACAGCAGCCTGGACATCTCACGGTGGGCAGTGAGCAGGGTCTTCTACAACGGGCAGTACTACAGGGACATGGCTCAGCTGGAGAGTGCCTACGTGCAGGGTCGGATCAGCGTGGAGAAGGTGAGGAAGGTGCCGTGGGATGGGGACTTCTCATCCATGAAACCCCGAGCTCCTCCGGCTGCGCTGTTCCCTGTGCTGTTTGAGCCGCAGGGTCCCCGCTACAGCGTCAGGAAGAACCACGTGCTGTTCCAGGCCTGGAGCTTTGCCTTTGGGATGAGCGTGAGCACAGGCCTGCGGCTGTTTGACATCCGACACAAGGGGGAGAGGGTTGCCTATGAGCTGAGTGTGCAGGAGGCGCTGTCAGTGTACGGCTCCAACTGCCCGGGAGGGATGTCCACGCGCTACATGGACGGCAGCTTTGGCCTGGGCCGCTACACCTCCCCCCTGGTGCCGGGGGTCGACTGCCCCTACCTGGCCACCTACGTGGACACCCACGCTCTGTCTGACAGCCTGAGGCCCAAGAAGAGGAAGGCTTCGCTCTGCATCTTTGAGCAGAACCTGGGCTCCCCTCTGCGGCGCCACTACTCCAACTTGCAGTCGCTCTACTACGGGGGGCTGGTGAACTCTGCTCTGGTCATTCGGTCCATTGCCACCGTGGGCAACTATGACTATGTGTGGGACTTCATCTTCTACCAGAGCGGGGCCATTGAGGGCAAGGTGCAGGCCACGGGGTACCCAAGCTCATCCTTTCTCCATGGGGATGGCCTGAGATATGGCAATAGGCTTTGGGAGCACACCTTGGGTACCATACACACCAATTTTGTCAACTATAAGGTGGACTTGGACGTGGGAGGTAGGTCTGGCTCTTGTCTCTCCTTTTTAAAAGACATTCTTCAAATAATTTTAGACTCAAAATCTTTACTTTTTTGGTGGTTATACAGGTTTTCCTTTCCTCTTGTGGGGTAGGGTGATGTGTTTGCATTGGAGGTTGACAAAATTCAGGAGCAGGGAGAAGGCAGATGAAATTAGACTGTCACTTTTAATACTGACAGGGGAGCTGTTAGAAATTTTGTTTTGATGAGAAAAGGGAAGTAAATGAACTCACTGTGAATGGATCTTCTTCTGTGGGGCTCAAACATAGAGGGCCACAGGTTTAGCTCTGAAATGAAAGCCTTTATGAAAGCTGTGAACTCATGTGTTAAAGGAGCAGAACACCGAGGGGCTTCATGGTGGGACAGGCAAGAGGTGCTGAGCAATAACCCCTGTGCCAGACCTGCACCGGCATTGGCCTCAAGTCCTCTCAGCAGCCTTTTGTCACCTTGTCCCCAAATGATTTGTCCCCATGCTGCTCCTGTTGCTCAAAACCTTGGGCCCATGTCTCTTCTTCGGGCAGTGCCTGAGAACAGCACAACACTGCCCATGTCTGTGATGTGCAAATGTGTGCAGTACCTGGGCTGCTCCAGGTGCCTTCGCTGTGCAGGATGAGCAGTAATGAAGCTCATGCTTTAGTTAATTAGACTATGCTTGCACAGGAAGCAAACCTGTTCTTCTGCCCTGAGATGAGGCTCATCCCTTGTCCCCTCTTGTCTCTCATGGTGTCTGCTGCAGAGTGGTGTTATCTGGCTTGGACAAGCGTCCAGCCACAGATCAGCACATGGCATTTGTCACGGCATGTGGAGCTGCAGAGCAGCAGCTGCTCCTGGAAGGGTGGGTGCTCAGAGCCCAGGGTGCAGGGAGGAAGAACAGGGAGAGCAGGCACTGTCATGTCCTCAGTGACTGTGGGGACTCTCCTCAGTCACTTTGTTTTGGCTTTGCAGGGGTGAAAAACTCCCTAGTGGCCCATGACATGGCATTTGAGATGACACGGGCTCCCTGGAGCCCAGAGCAGCAGATAGAGCGGCCACGACTCACCAAGAAAGTCCTGGACACGGAAGACCAGGCTGCTTTCCGACTCCAGTCCAAGATGCCCAGATACATCTACTTTGCAGCCAACAGCAAAAACAAGTGGGGCCACCAGCGCGGCTACAGGATCCAGATCACCAGTTTTGCAGGGGACCACATCCCCGAAGCCAGTTCCATGGAGAGGGCCATCAGCTGGGCAAGGTCAGGCTGTTCTGGCTGGCTTGGCAGGTTCTCAGAGACCCCCTCAGCCCTGCCAGCTGGGAAGGCATTGCTGGATGTCCCTTGATGGGAGGCACAGGGAAGCACTCTTCTGTGTTTGCTCCATCCAAGCAGGCCTGTGCTCTGCAGGCTTTCAGGAGCTGATTTAGCTCTGCCCTTCCTCGGGGGGCTGCTCCCATCTCTTTTCTTGTCCTCAGGTACCAGCTGGCTGTCACCCGGAGGAAGGAGGAGGAGCCCACCAGCACCAGCATCTACAACCAGAATGACCCCTGGACCCCCACTGTCACCTTTGCTGACTTCATCAACAATGAGACCATCACCAACGAGGTAAGCTGGGGTCCCTGGGCTGGAATATAACACTTAACAGGAGCCCCAAGGAGCAGAGAGACTCCAGCACTGCCCCTGGGACTGTGGGCCCAGAGGTGAGAGCAGCAGAAAAGAGGAAAGTGGGTTTGAGCATCCCCTTCTCTGTGTGCTGCTTGGTACTTTGGTCAGAGAACATAGAGGGTGGGTGCAGAGTAGAAGCTTGTTTTTCCCTGTGGAGAAATGCTGACAAAACGTCATGAAAATCTCTGTGAGGCCATGGAGGTCAAGGCAAGGGCCCTTGCACTGGGTGGGTATCTGCAGCCATGGCTGTGGCAGGTCTTAGGGGAAGGGAGGAGTTCTTTCCCAGGAGAGGGGAGCTTGGTGTGTGGGAAAGCAGCTGGCTGGTGCCCGCTGGGGTCCCCCTCCTTTTCTTCTGTCACTCTTCACTGCCCCTTGTGTATTTTGGTCACTGCTGCTGCAGCTTCTGAAGTAACCCTGGGCTTGTGGCTCTTCCCTGCCTAGGACCTGGTTGCCTGGATAACTGCTGGCTTCCTTCACATTCCACACTCTGAGGATATTCCCAACACTGTGACCGTGGGAAACTCGGTTGGTTTTCTCCTGAGACCCTACAACTACTATGACCTGGACCCCTCTATATACTCCCATGATGGTGTGTTTTTCACCAGTGAGCAGGACTTTACAGCATGTGAAATCAACCCTCTTGCCTGCTTGCCCAAAACTGCCTCTTGTTTGCCAAACTTTCCCCCATTCACCTATGATGGTTTTCGAAATATGAGCAGGCTTTAATGCTACAGGATGGTGTGAGATGTGGTCAGAGACACCAGGCTGAGCATTCTGTCTTCAATTCTCAGCGTTTTAGTGAAGTTGTCTCAATTTTCAGTTGTCCAGTGACTTCACATTTTATTGTTGCTTTTGAAATAGTGCTCTTGAAAAGGGAAGCATGACTTTCCTAGCATGATGTGAGATGAAAGTCTACATTATCTGTTAATTCTTGAATTTGAGTCTGTCGCCAGAGGAAAGCGAGGAGAAAATCCTGTTTCTCTGCTGTAGAAGCAAGTGCTGTGTAGTGCATATCTCAGGTTAAAAAAATGAAAATGGTGCTAGTCCAATGCTCTCAAGTGTCTCGTTCTTACAACTCACAGCAGGGTCTCCTTGGGGGTGATGCTGGTCTCTGCCATGTTTCCTGTGCCCACAAACCAGCCCAGCAGTGTGGCTCTGGGTGTTCATCGGGACACAGGAATGTCCAGCTGGAGGGCAGGAGGGACAAGCTGGGACACACCCCAGGGCACAGGGGCATGGAGTGAGGTGGGCACTGGCACCAAGCCCTGTGGCTGTTGTGGGGAGGCCGGGTCATGGCCAGGACTGTGTGGATTGTGGCTCTCAGGCCTTCAGTGCTGGGCACAAGGGAGGGATCTGGACGGGACCTTGCAGGAAGGGTCTCATGGCTGCTGATGATGCAGCGTGGCCAGTGCCACTGCCTGTTTGCCACGATGCTGGTTGGGTTCTGGTGCTCCTGCTCCCCTCCTTGCAGCCCTATCTGGGCTAGGGTGTAACTCGGGCTTCGTGGGCACCTTTGCAGGGTGACAAACTGCTGGCCCCTCCTTCCCTGCTGCAGGACCATGGGGATGTTGGAAGCAGCAGTCAGTGCTGCTTGGTGATGGCAGGGCTGTGTCAGGACGGGGCAGTGGTGCTGCTCTGCACAGGGAAGGTTTGTCTCTACAGCCAGTGCTGCCTGCCCAGCATTTGCAGGGTTAAGAGAAGGAGGAGAAGGGAGATGTGTTTACTTCCCCTAAATGACTGGATCCATCCTCTCCCAGCTCTGCATTGTAGGATCTGGGACCAGAGGGGAAGGACAGATGTACAAACATTGAGCTTACTTAAAATTATGACCCTCTAGGGAAGCAGAGCAAAGTTGCCTTTTATGGTTCCCAGCAAATCCTGGCAATGCGTGAGAACGTCCCCTTGCACCCTCCCTGCGAGTTCCTCTGGGCTGTTCCCCCCTGAAAAAACGGGGGAGGAAAATAAACCCGAGCCAACCCAGCCCCTTGTTCTAGTGAGTCGCTGGGAGGATTCCACAGCTGGAAACGTGTCCTGCCAGACTCAGGAGCACTCAGTGGCCCAGCAGGCATGAGCCTGAAAACCGTGCTCATCCTCCTTGCCCTGGCATTAGCCACAATATTCGCTTTGGTTTGCGTGTTGCTGACCAGAGAAAGGATGCCCAGAACGTGCCAGCACCTGCCCCTGGAGCAGGAGGACGTCGAGGATGGCCAGAGCCTGGTCTTTGCTGACCTGACACCCGAGGAGATGTCACAAGTGGTGCGGTACCTGCAGGGACACCTCGGGGTGCCGCTGGTTGACGCCTCGCGTGCCAAACCCTCGGACAACTGCATCGCCTCCGTGGATCTGCAGGTGCCCGCCAAGGCAGAGGTGCTGCGGTTCCTGGACGCAGGGGGGGCTCGTCCCCCCCGAGAGGCTCTGGCTGTGCTGTACTTCGGGAACCAGGCAGAGCCCAACATCACCGAGTACGTGGTGGGGCCGCTGCCGACGCCCACGTACCACCGAGATGTGACGGTGCAGAGGTACGGGGGGAAGGTGCCGTACCACCGCAGACCCGTCACTGGCAGGGAGTACATGGACATCAACGCCCTCATTCAGAGGGAGCTGAAAAAGGCACCGCGTTTCCTCTCTGCATGCTGTGAGTCTGACGGGACCGACCTGGTCATCCTCACCACAGCCCCACGGGGCTTCAAGTCCGGTGACCGCGTGACCTGGTTTGTCCTTTTCCACAATGTGGCTGGCACTGGCTACTACCTGTCTCCAGTGGGGCTGGAGGTGCTGGTGGACCATGGGGACCTCGACATCTCCCGGTGGCAGCTGCTCCAAGTCTTCTACAATGGCCGGTACTTTGCCAGCACAAGAGATCTGGAACAGGAGTTCGTGTCTGGTGCACTGGAGGTTGTCAGACTCAGGAAGCCCCGGGCTGAGTCAGTGCTGGGCTCAATGAAGCCCCGGCGCCCGCCTGGGTCCCCGGGCCCGCTGCAGTTTGAGCCCCAGGGTCCCCGCTACAGCATCAGGAACAACCTCATCACCTTCCAGGGCTGGAGCATCGCCTTTGGAATGAACCCCAACACTGGCCCACGCCTCTTTGACATCAGGTACCGTGGGGAGAGGATTGTCTATGAGCTGAGTCTCCAGGAAGCCTTAGCCCTGTATGGCTCCAACTGCCCCGGGGGCATGTCCACCCGCTACCTGGACGGCAGCTTTGGCATCGGCAGGTTTGCCTATGAGCTGGTCCGGGGCCTGGACTGCCCCTACACAGCCACCTACGTGGACAGGCACTACCTGGCAGAGACAGATACTCCCAAAACCAACCAAAAATCACTCTGCATTTTTGAGCATGACTCTGCCCTCCCTCTGAGGCGCCACTTCTCTGACTCACAGTCCTTTTACTACGGTGGGCTGCGGAAAAACACACTGGTCATCCGTACCATCTCCACTCTCATTAACTATGACTACATCTGGGACTTCATGTTCCACAGCAGTGGGGCTGTGGAGGTCCGGGTGCATGCCACTGGCTACATCAGCTCCTCCTTCTTCCACGGCCAAGGCACTGACTATGGCAACAGGGTTGGGCCCCACACGCTGGGGACCATGCACCTCCACCACATCCACTACAAGGTGGACCTGGATGTTGACGGTAGGTCTGGCCACCTTTGGGCATGGCTGTGGTTTACTGTGGCCTAAGGATCTGCCTGGGGTGCAGAGCTTGAGAGGGTTTTCTCTTCTGCTTCACAGGGCAGCTGAACTCCCTGGAGACGCAGGATATGGAGTACGAGTTTGTCAAAGATCCCTGGAGCACACAGAACACCATTGAGCGGCCATACCTCCGCAGGAAAAGGCTGGAGAAGGAGGATGAGGCAGCATTCCCACTCAATGTCCCCATGCCCCGCTACCTCTCCTTTGTCAGCCCCAATCTCAACAAGTGGCAGCACCCACGCAGCTACAGGATCCAGATCATCAGCTTTGCTGGGAAGCACCTGCCCACCAACAGCTCCATGGAACGCTCTATCAGCTGGGGCAGGTGGGTGCCAGGGTATCAGCTGCTCCTGCTCCTGGTGGAGGGAGGCTGTCAACCCTGGGCAGGCCTGCACCAGGCTGCAGGGAAGGGTTAAGCAACAAACGTGTAGCTTTTGGCTCTGAAATTTCCTTGAGATGTTGCTCAATAACATTTGCTCATGGTAGCTCACAGGCAGGAATCTGACCCCACGTCACACTAATTTAGAGCAACCCCGTGTGTTTTTCCCTTCGAGGGGAAGTAGGCTGCAGAACAAATTCCTAAGGGAAGCACTGGCATTGACAGGTTGTGGTATCTCCCTATGAGGACAGAATGCCTTTTGGAAAAAGTCTGGGATAAGCACAGACCAGTCTCACTGCCAGGGTGAACTGATGGAGCTCATGCTGGGGAAGTCTGTGTAGGGGAGAAGTAGCTATGGCTTAAGGGAGTGCATTGGGCACTGAGTGGCAGCGTTTGCACCTGGATCCATTCATGTTTCCCAGCCATGCTGGAAAAGCCACAGGCAGCAAGGGATCCCCCATAAAGCTTGAAGATGCTGGGGCTGCTGGCAATTCCTGTCCTCCCAGACTTTTCCCTCCCTGCCCCAGGGCAGACCAGGGATGCATCCAGCCTCAGTTCACCAGTGCATCCCAACTGGCAATGCCCTGGCTGCCCTGCCCTGTATGGACAAGCCCCTCTGATCCCTGTGCTGGCAGGTACCAGCTGGCTGTCACCCGGAGGAAGGAGGAGGAGCCCACCAGCACCAGCATCTACAACCAGAATGACCCCTGGACCCCCACTGTCACCTTTGCTGACTTCATCAACAACGAGACCATCACCAATGAGGTAAGCTGGGGTCTCTGGGATGGAGAGAAGCTGAACCTTGTGGGGCCCATCCTGGCTCCTGCCCTGGACCAGAGCCAGACTGAGCAGCTGCCGGGCTGGCAGAGTCCAGCTCTGTTAGATGCCCCGTTCTTCTTCTCCCAGGACTTGGTTGCCTGGATCACTGTGGGGTTTCTGCACGTCCCTCATGCTGAAGACATCCCCAACACAGTGACTGTGGGGAATGGTGTTGGCTTTTTCCTGAGGCCTTACAACTACTTCAACGAGGACCCCTCGGTGGATTCATCTGACAGTGTCTACTTCAGCAGTGACCAGGATGTTGGGGCATGTGGGGCCAATCCCCTCGCCTGCCTGTCCTCTGCTGCCACCTGTGCCCCCCACCTGCCCCCCTTCCACTTTGGGGGCTTCCTCAACCTCAGCCTGGCACCGCCTCTTGGCGGGCTCTGATGGGCCAGGGGTGCTGCTGGCTCTTGGGTGGGTACTCAGAGGGTCTCTGTCCCACACCAGGACCTGCCCTCCCCCTGCCCAGGGTGTCATGTGCTCAGGGTCAGGTTTTGGGGGAAGCTCACTTCTTGTTTCAGCACTGCCAAAGGAGGACCCAAAGCCTCTGAAAAATAGCCCCTGGGAGTGACTTTTTTATTTCATCCTGGGTGTCACCCTGTGTACTGTGGGGTGCCCACAGCTGCTCCTCTCCTCTGGGATGGGACTTCCACCACCTTCCCATCATTGGTGCACACAGGGTGACAGTGCTGGCCAAGGCTGCCCATAGCACAAAGCTGTAGCTGCCCTTGGAGCTGTGGTCCACCTGAGGTTTTGCCCACAGTGGCAGGGGTGAGTGGTGTGGTGTTGCTGTGGACCTGCCACGGGAAGCCCAAAACATCCTCCACAGCCATGCAGCCATTGCAGCACCAAGAGCACTGGGCCCAGGCACTGCCAAGCTCTGGCTGCTGCTGCAGTGCCAACTGCAGATGGAGATGCCATGACAACTCTACAGATGGAGATAGGGCACTGGGTTGGCTTGGAGGCTGCTGGAGGAGCCCATGGCTGGGCTCTGGGTGGGAACTCCCCAGGCTGGGCTGTCCTGTGTCCACCCTTCCCAATAAACAGGCACTCGAGTGCTTTCCCTGAACACACTCCTGTATCTCATGGTGCTGCTCTGTCTCCTGTGTCTGGGGCCAGACCCCAGTATGGCTGATGCTGTGGGAGCTGATGCCTTGTTAGGGATGGCCCTGGCTCAGCTTTGGGGGGTCCAAGGGATGTGGGGCAGCATGTGTGGCCCAGCATGGCTGTGTGATTGGTCTCCCGGATCCCAGTGCTGGCAGGAGGCTCCTGCCAGAGGATATGGAACAAACAAGGCAGTTAACGTTTAACAGTTGTTCTGAGCTGTGTTAATCAATTCTGGGCTTGGCTGCTGCCCAGTGTGCTCAGCCCCCTGTGTGGGCACCCTTAATTCTGCACCCCCAGCTGCATGTGCAGCTCTGGGCTGCAGGATCCCACAGCCCACAGAGCTCATCCCACTGTGCCAGGCTGGGATGGGGACACCAAGAAGCTTGGTGAGGCCAGTGCCCAGCCCTGGCACATGGCTGCAGATGCTAAGCACTCACCAAAGTGTCCATGGGGGCATGGTGGGTATCTGTCCCCTCTGACCCCTGGCTGTAGTGGATGGGTCTGTCCAGAACATGCTGCGAGGGGCTCGAGCAGCCCTAATGGCTGTGGCATGTGCCCCTGGGAGCCAGATCAGCTTGATGGGAGAGGTGATGGGAGGAGAGAGAAGCTCAGGCCATGGCTCAGTGTGAGGCTGCAGTGGCCCCTGGGTGCCCTGGGGTGACAGCAGGGGCTGTGCCAGGCCCTGTGTGACAGGAAGGTTGTGTCCAGCTGGCTCCCTGCCCGCCACAGGTGCTGCCTGGACTCTGCTCGTGCACTGACGCAGTGACCACACTGCCACAGCCCAGCCTGGACCTTGCAGCTGTCAGGGAACATTCTGGACCAAACTGGCACTGCATGTGGCACATTACAGCACCCACTGGTGCTGTACTGGCCATAGCTGCATCCAGAACCTTGGGAATCACGGGCGTGCTGCGTCCCAGAGGCAGCTGGGGCCACTGGAGTCACACAGCTCCTGGGCTGCCAGCTGATCCTGGACTTGGTGTGCACAGAAATTGGGTTCCCCCAGCCTGGCCCCACTCCTTCCCTGGGAAAGCCAGCCAGCCAGTTTACAGTGACATCCCCAGCAGTGCTGCTGGCAGGGCTGCACAGTGCAGGGGATGAGCTGGACCCTGAGCAATTGTCAGACCAGCCAGGATACAGAACCCTGCCCAGGCAGCTCCTGCTGCTCTGTCCTGACTCAGGTCCACACAATGACTTTGGGGCCAGGGATTTATCCACAGGGCAGGTCATGGAGCAGTTCTGGGATCGTGTGGACCCTGGCACCTCTGGCACAGTCCTGACATGTGGCATGTGCACCTGGCACTGCACAGGGGGTACTGGGCTGAGCCACTCTGTCCTCTGTGCTGGGAGGAAATGTGCTTCCATTCTGCTTCCTGCCCTCTCCCTACTATGGCCCCAGTTTTCCTGCAGTGACTGTTTCCTAGGGGACTCGAGTGCTAGTCCCCATCCCCCAACACCTTTTGCCCCGTTTTCCGCTGTGAAATCTCCTGTGAAGGATTTATTGCTGATAGCTTCAAAATATTTTTGGAATGGAAGCCAAGTCTGTTGCATTCCTTCACGCTGGCCAAAGCAACTCTCAGTTGAGGACTCTGGAACGAGTTATTGGGGGATTTGTTCTGCAAGAGTAATTCAGTTTCTGTGCAAACTTCTGTTTTGTTGGGATGTTTTGCAGGTCAGGAGCTCAGTCCAGGGTCTGGGACCACCTTGCTTGGGTGCAGCAAGGCTGGATAGGACATGCCAGCAGCAGGGCTGAGTCTGTGGCTTTGATTGCTTTTCTCACAGGCCATCCATGCTCGTATCTCGGGGAGCAAGGTTTGCCTGTCAGACCCCGTGGCTCCCTGGGCTGTGCATGGGCAGAGTGGCAGGATAGGGCCTGCAACTCCTGCTGTTTGTCAGCAGGACTCAGTACTGGACACAGCTCTCACAGAGGCAAACAACACAGGGCAGGGGTTCAAGGATCTTGACGTGAATTTTCTCAGGAGGGAGATAAGCCATGCATTTCACTGGCTGTTGATCATTAATGCCCTGCTGCCTGCTCAGCTGTGGTGGGTGCTGGCTGGGCACCCTGTGCTGCTGCTGCAGGGCTGTGTGTCCACGCACTGGCAGCTGTGGATGATAAAGTTGCAGAGCCAGCACTGCTACCAGGGACAGCAGAGTGCAGCTGGGGTGGAGGGGACAGCCATGGGCACTGCAGGATGAGTTGTGTCTTTGGTTCTGTACCCACAGCCAGGGTCTGATGGGGCAGGAAGGATTAACCCAGCGGAGCAGTGCTGAGAGGAGAAGTGCTGTCTCTATTTGCAAAGGTCCTTTAGCCCCCCACTAGAGATCAGAAGAACATGGCTGGCACCAGGAGCATCCCAGGCCTGGTTGTTTGGGACTGTGGGGACCTTCAGGAATGGCTTTGAAAGTTTCTCATTATGCAAAGTCCTGGTTAAATTAACCTGGCAAATGAGGAGGGGGATGGGTAGTCTGCCCTCTGCTCCCTGCACCCACTCCGTGCTCCTGGGCATCCTTGCTATGCTCCAGTGGTGGTTCACAGGGGGATGGCAGAGAGAGCAGAGCAATTGTCAGCCCTGGACGTGGCAGCTCTGCAGGACTGTCACAACCAGAGCCTGGGATAAAGGAGCAAGGGCTGCGGTTCAGTCAGAGCAGCTGAACTCTTGGACTGGATAGCTGGAGGAGCCAGGGCTGCAGGATCTCCCTGGGTGAGGGGATGGTGTGGGGCAGGGGATGGTGCTGGGGTTGGAGCACCCGCACTCCACGTGCTCTCAAAGCCTGTTTCCCCCTTTTACGTAAGGTGTTCCAAACATGTTTGTTACAACCCCCTGGTGATGTACCTTTGGAAAGAGTGGTTTTGGGTCCAAAGATCAGTGCTAGGACAGTGACCTGCCTGCTGCAAACAAGACCTTGCAGAGTATAAAACCCCAGTGGCACAGTGGAGCAGGGGATAGCCTGAGGCACGCTGAGGAGGATGGAGGCCAACATGAACCTCCTGCACGACGTGGGCATCCGAACAACACACTGGCTGCAGCAGCGCTTCCAGGGCTCCCAGGACTGGTTCCTCTTCATCTCTTATGCTGCTGATCTCAGGAATGCTTTTTTTGTCCTCTTCCCCATCTGGTTCCACTTCAGTGAAGCAGTGGGCATCAGGCTCATCTGGGTGGCTGTAATCGGAGACTGGCTCAACCTCGTCTTCAAGTGGTGAGTGGCCCCGAGCCCATCGTGTGTTGGCACACCTGGATTAATGTGAGCCTGATGGGTGCTCTCAGCCCCAGGGCTGGAGTAGAACAAAGACCTGAGTTCAGCCCCAGCTGGGCAGTGACAATGGTCACTCCTTCCCAAGCCGTGCAGCAACAGCTTCCCCCTTCCTAGAGCCAAGCAGAGAGATGGAGCCTCCTGCAAATAGAGCTTCCCATCAGCCGGGGCTGTGGTGCTGAGTGGGGGGATCTTCACAGAGCCCCTCACCACAGGAGGTGATATCGACTTGGTTCCGGGAAGTTCTTCCTCTTCCCCTCAGGGCTGGGGATGGAGACATGGACAGGCACTGTCAGCTGTCAGAACCAAGCTATCAGCTGGGTGTTGTCTCTGTCAAGATGCCCTGGACCATTTGTGGGTCCTTTGCTTCTTCCATCTCCCAGGACAGATCTAAAGCTGCAGCTGTGCCCAGAACCTCCCCAGATCCCTTCTCTTTTCTTTTCAGGATCCTCTTTGGGGAGAGACCATACTGGTGGGTCCTTGACACAGACTATTATGGCAACAACTCTGCACCAGAGATCCAGCAGTTCCCGCTCACCTGCGAGACTGGCCCCGGTAGGGTTCCCCAAGCCATGGTAGGGGCTTGCAGCCAGGGGCAGGGGGTGCTTGCCCATGGTGACCTGCACACACAAGGAGGGAGGTGCTGGCCTGGCCAGGGCTGTGGCTGGCAGCCTGCAGGCAGCACATACCTCTGGACAGCTCTGGCGAGAGGGCCCTTTACTGCTGTGCTCCTGGGGATGCTGCCTGTGCCTGCAGGGGAAGGAGGCAGGGCAGCCTGTGCACAGAGCAGACCTTGACCCCTGGTAAAGCTGTGGGGAATCACAAACCCCTGCCTGTGCTCAGCTCTGGCCCATGCAGAGTCTGACCTGGGTCTCTCTTCTTGCCCAGGGAGCCCATCTGGCCATGCCATGGGTGCAGCAGGCGTGTACTATGTCATGGTGACAGCCCTCCTCTCTGCTGCTGGGGGAAAGAAGCAGTCAAGGACTCTCAGATACTGGTAAGCTGTGTGCCAAAACCACCTGTGCTAGGCAGGGACAGCTCCAGCACTGACAGGCACAGCCAAGCCCATCAAGGCACGAGGCTGTGGACTGTCAGCTGGGCTGTGGCACCTCAGGTGGGGTCTGCATGGGGACAGGCTCAGTAGGCAGCCAGGCATTGTTTGGAGTACATGATGGCAGTGCCATGGGCAGTGCAAGCTGGCCCTGGCACCGACATGGCCACCTGTCCCTCACAGGATGCTCTGGACAGTGCTTTGGATTGGGTTCTGGGCAGTTCAGGTCTGTGTCTGCATGTCCCGAGTCTTCATTGCTGCTCACTTCCCCCATCAGGTGATTGCAGGAGTTTTCTCAGGTGAGTGTATCAGACCCCCCATCCCTTTCCCTGCAGCACCACTGTACCTGCAGCACTGACCAATGCTCCCACTTTGTTACTGGCAGGGATGGCTGTGGCCAAGACCTTCCAGCATGTCCGCTGCATCTACCATGCCAGCTTCCTTCGGTACCTGGGCATCACCCTCTTCCTCTTCAGCTTCACCCTGGGTTTCTACCTGCTGCTGTGGACATTCGGTGTGGACCTGCTCTGGACGCTGGAGAAGGCACAGAAATGGTGCAGCCACCCTGAGTGGGTCCACATTGACACCACTCCCTTTGCCAGCCTTCTCCGTAACCTGGGCATCCTCTTTGGGCTGGGGCTGGCCCTCAACTCCCACATGTACCAGGAGAGCTCCCGGCTGAAGCAGGGCCAGCAGCTGCCCTTCCGCCTGGGCTGCATCGCTGCCTCCCTCCTCATCCTCCACATCTTCGATGCCTTCAAGCCACCCTCCCACATGCAGCTGCTCTTCTACGCCCTCTCCTTCTGCAAGAGTGCGGCCGTGCCGCTGGCTACTGTCGGCCTCATCCCCTACTGCCTCTCCCAGCTCCTGGGCACACAGGACAAAAAGGCTGCCTAAGGCAGGCAGACACCCCAGCCCTGGGCTCAGGGCAGCTACCAGGCCCTGGGTGCACCTCAGCCACTGTTTGCTTCCTGCTGCATCTGCACAGGCTGACTCTGCTCTGGGAGCACACTATGGAGGCTGGGCCAGTGGTGCTGCTGGGTGGCTCCTGCAACATGGACCCACGGTGTCAGTCACGCTGGTCTGTGGCTGGCTGTTGGCACAGAGAGCCCTGCATGTCCAGCACTCCCCTGCTGTCCCTCCTGCACCCACACGTGGGGGTCACCTGCCCAGGACCCAGCAGCAGCAACCCAGCAAGCAAGGACCCAGTAAGCAGCGGGAGGTCCTGCACTCCCTTGCAGCTCGTGGGGACAGGCCACCTCCATGCTGCAGGGCTGGGGACAGCACCACTGGGAGCAGGGCTCTCACCTCAGCGTGTCTGGGGTCTGCTGAAGAGGCAGGTCTGTGACAGGAAAGGGCAGACACTGTGACATGGAGATGAAGTGCCAGTGTGAGGGACCCCTCCAGCCCTGGGACGTTTGGTGCTCAGCTGTGTGATGCAGTGCGGGGTGCACACACACCCATGTGTACACACATAACATGTATCTGTGCACACATGACGTGGGGTGGGGTTGTGCACAGGAGGTATTTCATTAAAGCTGAAGGCTGTTTAGCTGCTGAGTTTGAGTGTCCCACTGGCCAGCACCATGGGATGGGGGAGCAGCTCTTGGATGTAGAGTTGAGCATGGTTGGTGCACGTGGTAAAGGACATTTCTCCTGGGTGCTGAAGACCCTCAACACCTGCAAGACACGTTCAAGCCACTGGGAAGGGCACTGTCTAGTGCCTTGGGTCTTTACTTTTTGCCGAGGTGCAGCTGAACACTCACAGCACATGGTGGCAAGGAGATGCTTTTTGTGCTGTTCGTTGGAGGTTTCTGAGTGCACTTTGTGCCAGGAACAGGGAAAAACTTGTGTTACCTTGCTGCTTACAGAAGCAAGCTCAGCTTTGGGATCAACTGGCTCAGCTGGGGCTGTGCTGAGCCCCCAGGGTGTTGGGGACAGAACTTGCATTTGGCTGTGGTGTGGGGTTGAGATCACGCCCCTCCTACCTCAGTACCCCAGCCCAGTGCTCCCTTTGCAGCAGAAGTCCTGTGGGCTCAACCTGCTGCCCTCCAAGCTGGGCAGGCTGTACAGCCCAGCTATCAACTTTCTCAGTAAACATCCTTGCTCAGGCTAATAGATAGGGAGGTGCAGATACCTTCCCCCTGCCAGACTCTGTGCATGTGTAGGATCGCTCCCAAAGTACCAGCCCCTGCAGCTCTGACCCCAAAGCCAGCTCCAGGCCTCAGTGGTGGTCCCTGTGGTCTGATGCCACCTCAACAGCTCAGCCAAGGCTGTGGCCATGCAACAGTCACAGCAGCCATGGATGGGAACCCAATCTGTTAGGGCTGCTCCCATCCCCTTTTTCATAACAGATAAACTTCCTTAGGATAGAGGTTTCTTTTATTCTGTTTCTCTGTTTATTATCACCATTTTGAGTAAACCTGTCATGCCATTCGTAGCAAGAAGGGGAAGGTAAATTCTCAAATTACCTGTTGTGCCCCGTTGTGGCTCCACAGCGCCCTTTAGTTCCTCCAGAGGAGACTGCAGCAGCTCCAAGGCCTGCCTGGGCAGGAAAGGTGAGCTGAGGGAACACCGGGACAGCTTTGCCTAATCCCGAGGGAATTTACAGCCCGAGAAACTACCGATGGTCAAAAAACTACCAGTAACAACTGCATCCCACCAAAGAAAAGGACTTGTACGTGGTGGGGAACGATCTCCTGCCTGTGGGGCACCTGCCCTCCCTTCCAGCTGCTCTCTGCCCTTGCCCAGCCCAAGGTGTCTAGGGGGACCAGCTGCCTCTTGCTTGAGCGTTTGTGCCAAGCAAGTCCTCCTCAGCAACTCGTGCAAAGCAAAATGCCCCAAAGTACTGCCAGCAGGAGGCCTCTTCTGGGCTTAGGAACCCTACAAAGTGGTTAACTAAAGACTACTTTTATCCCTGTACCATTTGCCTTGAGAAATGAGCCCTTGCAGCAAAGCAGATCCCCTCCCCATTTCCGTGAGCACCAAACCAGCCCACGCAGAGCATGTGCACACCAGCTGTTGGGTTCAGGTCTTTATTCTCTGGTAGAGAAGCTAGTGGAGCCTATGCAAACAAAGGGAAGACAAACCTACTTTGAGAATTGTTTCTTATGCTCCAGGGTTTTGATGGCTAATGAATTCCTGGAGCAGAGCTTGCACTTCTCCTCGCCGGCTCATCTTGGCTGCCTTGCCCTGGAAGCGGCCGCGCTTCCCAGCTCCTTTCCCACCCAGCAGTTCTGCCACCCTGCAGCAACAACACCACAGGCTGGAGCCCAACCTGCCCCAGACAGCACACACGGATCCGTGCCTGGATCCCACTGTGCAGCAGCTCAGTCTGCAACACCACAATTCTTATTCAAGTTAAACAAATCACAGAACATGTTACCTGGGACCTAAATTTTCAACTGCTTCAACAGGTCCAGCTAGAAGGAAGAGTCCTGCTTCTTTTTCATCTCCCACAGTCAGGAATAGCAGGGTTTCCTGTGGACACAGATGGGCCTTGCTCCAGATAAATCCGTGTCCTCCTTGTCCGAGAAGAGGACAAACATTGGCCACAGGACACAAAGAGCAAACTCACAATTCAAAAGTCTCTGCGCATTACTGAGACTGAGACTGCTTGAAAAAAGTAAAAGAGAAGTGGCATCTGAACCTTTTGTGCCCAGTCATGCACTGCTGGCACAGAACAAAACTGGGGTATCCCAAGCTAAAAGGATACAGTTGGCAGTTGAACTAGGTGATTGTGACTGAAACCTTCTGCTCTTCCTATTCTACTCCTACCTAATCCTATCCTAACCTATTTCAGCCAATGAGGCTCTGTACAGCTCTTGGGGGCTAAGGCTCTTCCCTAGTGCTCTGAATTCTCACTGTTGAGGACAGCCCTACAGACTGAGGCTGCTGGGGACGGGTAACCTCAGGTACCTGCAAAGGAACCATATCTGCAGATTGTGACTGTGGCAGCAACAGCAGCCTGGCCAGCCCCTGTCTGTGTGTAACTGGGGTGAAAAACCAGTGGTGTCAGTTTAGTCTTCATCACTGACTCACCTCTGTCCCAATCTCGTTAGCAATGATGTTCATAAATTCAGAATCACCCTCTTTCCTGTCGGGAATGGATAAAAAATCACTTCAGAAAGAGGCAAAAACCCCCTCTAGAGTACAAAATCTCAATCAGAAACCAAGTGCCTGATTAAGGATTTTGTCCTCTTGCTCTTATTTGTCTATATATGTAAATCCTTACTGGACACTCCTGTGGACATGTTAGGAATTATGTGAGTGTTATCTTTAAGAAGTAGGTTTTATTTGAAAATATCAAGTGCAGAGAGAATTAGACGGACACAGTAATTTCTCAGCTACAAAACCAGAAGAATTCAGTGACTGAACTATGAACAGATACCTTTAACTACACAACTTTCCATCAGGTCAAGGCAGTTTAATATTCTATTTACTTTGTTTATATTCTTCCTTGAGAAAACAGCTGCACACGTGTGAGAGATCCAAGTGCCATAGAGTGTGGGATACTGTTGGCCCCTTTTCCCTGAGCTCCCCCATACCTGTGCAATACAAACAGCTGCTTTGGAGCAGGTTTGCTCTTGAAGTCCCGGGCTATCAAAACAGCAATGTCTCTAAGCAGGTTCAGGTTATTCTGAAAGAAAAGCAAATGAACTGTACTGCAGCTGGAGAAGTCAGTGTGAAAACAGTTGTGTTCCCATAGGTTTGAGCACTTTTCATAATACCCACAAAAATGGAACGACAATGATTTGACTCCCAGTTACCACAACTAAAGGTCTACAGGAAATAGTGACAACCACTTTTCCCAGCCATTCTTGTACCTTCTGGAGCAGTTTCACAGAGCTCTGCAGTCTCTTCACAGCCTCTACGTGCTCACCTGGTCCATTTCTGAAAGAAATGGGAGACTTTGGATCATTGCTCTGAAGGACAAAGGAAAGATTTCCTAAAGGAGCAAAACAGGCAACATCATACACAGCCCCACAACATGTACCCTGAGGCTTATGTGATATCTCTCAAGAGGAAGAGTGAAGATAAAATAATAGAAGTGGAAAGAGTATTACTTGAGCAGAGAGGTTAGAGCCTTCTCAGTATTGTGACTTTGTTCGATTGACTTCAGCACTCTGTTTCCTGCCAAGAAAATCAAGTTGGTTTTGTTCTTTTTCCCTTTTTCCACTCCAAGGAGTTTAATAACCTTAAAAAGAAAATCATCCTGGTCAGAACAGCATTTTGGTAATTCCCATAGGTGGTCAGTTCCTGCCAGATTATGCCTTGTGGTGAATTTTGACTCTGCTAGTGAAAATAAATTGAATAAAATCAGCCACAAGGTCAACATACCAAAAAAAAAAAAAAAAAAAAAGGGATGTGGTACAGTGGAATTTATGCAATTTTCTAGCCTCGGGATGCACTCTACAGGGCATCTGGATGTCTCTGCTGGGAAACTGACTCCAACCAGTAACTGAGAAAGTTCAAACACTTAAAGGCAGGTCTAGGATTTTATCACCATTTCCCTGCACGGAAGATTTCTCATCCATGATGGACATTCAAAAATATCAGAGCTTTAAGCAGAGGGAACATGGCCAACACCCCTGGCAGTGCAAAAACATCACTGCTGCACACAGGGCTGAGTTCTGCAACAAGGAAACAAAAGCACCTGAGGTGCCCAGTCTGTGTGTGACCCTCCTGGGGTTCCCTCAGCCTGGGGCTGCTGCTCCCCCTTCCCCATCAGTGCAGTCTCGAGCAGCCTGTGGATCCCAGGGACTCTGGCTGCACTTCATGTGTAGTGTGGTTCCCAGAGGCAGCCCAGCTGCATCCACCCACCTGGAGGTCACTCAGGTTGCTGACATGAGTCCCACAGCACATATTGGAGTCAATGCCTTTGATGTCCACCACACGCACTGGCCCTACGTGGTCATCAGGCAGCCCCCGGCTCTTCACCTGGCAGAGCAGATGAGTGACAAAGAAGGTGACATCCGTGCTCAGTTATTCCAGTCCCACGAATCCCATGAGTTCTCTGGCACCACTCACTGTTTCAATTTCAGGGTCATCTGCAGCCAGTTCCCTCACTGTTACAGGGACCCTGTCCCGGATTTTCTCATTCACGCTCTTCTCCAGGGCCTCGACCTGCTCTGCTGTCACCAAGGGGATGTCCAGCTCAATGACACTTCTCTGACGGCCCAGCTCCCTGCACCAAGGAAGAATATCTGCTGCTGTAGCTGAGACCTGCTGTGCAGCACCAGCATCCCACTGTTGGGAATGTGGTGACTGAAACAAAACAGACTTCCCTCCTCTCTCTGTTATGTTCAAAGCACCAGATGGAAACCAAACACTTGAGGACAAGACAGAGAAACACTACTTTGCACAGCTTCTCTCCAGGTCAGTGACCTCTCCTGCAACATCTCAGCTCAGGTGAAACATCCAAATTGCTTTTGGTGTTTCAGTGTTCAGGCTCTATGCAGGGTAGCATGGTGACATGTGCCAAACAAGAAAACACTGGGGTCAAAAGGAACCTTTATCCTGCTCACCATGAAGTCGTCTTGAATCCAAACATCTGTTCTGCAATTGCACTGATGAGATGCTGTCCTGGAAGAGACGGGCAAGCACTAGCTGTGAGTGTCACTGGTATTTTCAGTCAGGCCGTGTCTTTCCTGTTGACATTCTCCACGACAGGCGAGTGCTGGGTGCTGAGGGACCCCTGCCAGTGCCCAGCAGCAGCAAGGAGACAGCTCCGGCCTCGTGAGCCTCGGCTCCCGGCAGCACTGCAGCACACGCTGGGGGCTGCAGAGCAGGTTGAACTTTTTTTTTCCTGTGCGTTTGTTTACAAGCCAAGGAGAGCTCGCAGAGGGGCACCTGCTGCCCCCAGTAGTCCCGGGAACGGACTGGGCACACAGAACTGTTGCGTTTCTCCCTACCCTGACCAGGGTGGGCACACGCTGGGCACGGACCTCCCCCCCGCCCCAGCGGCACCTCCGGCGGGGTGTTACCGGGCTCCTCCCGGTACCGGCACGGACCTGAATGCTGCTGCATGTGGTCGAAGCGGCGCTCCCAGTCCAGCGACAGCAGCACTTCAGCGCCCGGTTCCAGCGCGGCCGGCACGAAATGCACGGCCTCGGGGCCCCGCCGGGTGACGCGCAGCACCGGCACATCTCCGATGAGGCCGCGATCGTCCGGCTGCGGACACAGGACGTCAGTGCCGCCGGCCCCGGCCCCGGCCCCCACTCAGCCCGGCCCAGCCCGGCCCGTACCTGCCCGCCGCCCTCGGGGAAGAGGATGGTGTCTTCCAGCACCACCTGGAACCCGTGCACCGGCTCCCCGCCGCCCTCGGGCCGCAGCTCCGCCGCCCGGCACGACACCACCCTGGTGGTGAACTGAGACACAGACGGCGGCGCCGTGAGGGCCCACCCGGGCCTGCCTCGCGCCCCGGCCCCGGCCCCGGCCCGACGCTACCTGCCGGGCCCAGCTGTCCCGCTGGCACTGGAATACCATCACGACCGTTTGGTACAAGCGAGCCGGGACTGGCGGCGAGGGCGGCCGCGGAGGGACCGGGACAAGGACCGGCGGTGACCGCGAGCGGGCGGGGCCTGCGCGGTGACGCGCGGGCGCGCTCCCGCCGGCGGCGCGCGCTGCCGGGCCCGGTGGGAGCGAGCGGCTCCCGATGGCCGGCGCGGCGGCGGCCCGAGCGCACGGCACACGGCTGCGGCAGTTCACGTTTATTGCCCCGCGCCCCGCGAGGGTAACCGGCTACGGGAGACCGGACCGCGTCCGCCGCCCTGGGTCGGGAGCGCTGCCCGCGGCGACGCATGAGCTGAGGCGGCCCCGCTTCCTCGGAGAAGCCTGCCCGCGCTGCTCCTCCGTGCTACCGGTGCACCGGCTGGTCTCCCAGGGCCCTGGGCATCAGTCATCCTGCGGGAGGGAGGAGCGAGGTGCCAGGGACTGGGCCGAGATCGGGCCAGCCCCGGTTGCAGCGGGTGGTGCCAGCCAGTTGTCCCAGGGAACCTCTCCACGCTAGCTCCAGGACAGGCTGCTCGAGGGGTGCAACAGGAGGTGCTGCCGGTGTCCCGGAGCCGGCGGAAGGCTGAGGCTGGGTTGTGCTCGGTTGGGCATCAGGAAGAAGCTGGCATGTGGTACTTACATCCAGGTCATCCATGGCTGGTGGGGGGCCTTTTTCTGTCACTTTCTCCAGCATCTGGATAGGAAACAAACGGCTGGATCCCCAAATGCCTGGTGTGCCCCCATCCAGTTCACCCACATGATGATCCCGAGGATCCTCAGGATCCTGAGGCCGGTGGCCCAGCTCACCTCTGCATACTGTTCCACCATGGCCCTCTCCACCTCCTCGTCCCCTTCCCAGTCTCGCCAGTTGTCAAAGTCCACGGAAAGCCAGGCTGGCTGTGGGCACAAAGAGCATCCCCTGAGAGGGGGGAGCAGCACCGCAGGGACCCACAGCCCAGAGGCAGCTCCTGCACAGGCGAGGGACCTTGTAAGACTGGGGAGGGGCAGGAAGCAGGAGTGTCCCTTTGCCTGCAGGCACTGGTTCTGATCCTGAGTGTGTCAAGGTAAAGGGGTGCCACATCCTTCCTGGAGGGCAGAAGTCTGTGGACTTCTAGTGGTGATTATCAGGACAGGCTTTTTGGGAGCTCTGTCTTCGGGTCCCCTGTGGGGGTCTCTCTGTCTGTCCTGGGGGCAGGTTGGTTCCTAAGAGCCACGAGGTGCTGAGTGGGGACAGCACATGCACTGAGGCACCAGGCACCACACACACCTTGATGTTCTCCTTGGTGACGCGCGGCCAGGCCACTTTCTCCTTCCATTTCCTCATAAAGCATGTGATGGAGCGGTCAGAGCGCTTCTCCCGCGAGTCCTGCCAAGAGATCAGGGGTGCCTCAGTGTCTCCTGGGCTTCTCTCTGCACAGGGTTAAAGCTCAGCCCTGCGCAGGCTGTGGGGTCACAGAACTACAGAGACAGGTTGCTTCTGGCTCAGGGCAGCACCGTATCAGCCCCAGGGTTGGGGCTCTCAGGCTCATCCTGCTGAAATACTCAGGATGGGCAGCATTCAGCGTTAAGCTGTGTTGCTCAAGATTGGCTCTGACTCTGCGCCTGACAGAGGCTGTCAGAGAACAATTTGTTGGCGGGAAACCTCACCTTGGAGTTGACCCTGGCGTACAGGTTGATCTCGTTGTAGAACTCCACACCGTCTGCATTTTTGCAACTGCCAAAACATTGTAACAACCGGGCTTAGGAGAGAGCTGAGGCCAGGCGTGCTCTCCTCTCACAGAGTCCTCCCGGTCCTCTGAACCACCCCTAGAGCAGGGCCATGTCAGCCGGCAGGGCAGTGGCAGCTCACCTGAACACCAGGCGATGGTCCTCGATGACGACCTTCACGTCCTTGCTGTCCTCGACACAGAACTCCAGGTACACGTACCGCGGCCGGTCGTACCACAGTGTCTTTGCAGGTTGCCTTGGGGAAGAGCACACCACCGGGTATCACCAGTAGGCATTTCCCCGGTGCCCAGCAGCCCTCGGCAGGACCCGCACGGGGGGCAGGGGACGCGGGCTCTGCCTGGGCCGAGCCCCGGGACTGGCAGTGGGAGCAGGTACCGGGCGGGAGCGGGCGGTGGACACTGGCCCCATGCCGCTCCCCTCTCCCGTCCCACACGCCCCTGGCCGGGCAGTCGGTGGGGCCCGGCCGGCCTGTGTCCGCTCCGCTCTGCCTGGCCCGGCACCGCTCCCCGCTGCTCCAGGTCCGAGGCTCCTGTCGGGGGGTGCCTCGGCCGCGCACTGGGAGCCATGCATGAGTTCCTAGCGCTGCCTGTCCCGTCCGGCTGCGCTCACCTCGCCATGGCGGTGCCGACCCCGCCCCGCGCTATTTTGGGCCGGGGGGCGCGGCTGCCGGGCGCAGGGCTCGGCCAGGCCGGGCCGGCCAGGCCGGACCCGGGGCAGCCAACCCGCGGGCCCGTCACCGCCCCCCGGCCCCCGGTGCGCGCCCCCGGGGCCGCCGCCGCCACCGAGCCGGGCCGCGAGGGGGCGCGCTGGCCCCGCCCCGCCCATAGCCCCGCCCCGCGGTGCCAAGATGGCGGCGGCGTCGCGGCGCCGGTAGCAGCGGCTATGGAGGGAGAGAGCGGCTCGCTGGGCCCTGGCGAGCGCTGGGCGCCGGTGGGCGCCGTGTCAGCGGAGGAGGACGAAGATGAGGAAGACGAAGAGGCGGCGGCCACGGGAGGAGACTCGCCGCAGTCAGTGCCGCGGCTGCGGGCCGAGCGGCGCCGGCTGCATGGGGCGCTGCTGGCGCTCGCCTCGCACTTCGCTCAGGTGCAGTTCCGGCTGCGGCAGGTGGCCCGGGCCGGCCCGGCCGAGCAGCAGCGCCTGCTCCGCGACCTCGAGGACTTCGCCTTCCGCGGCTGCCCCGCGCCGCTTCCCCACGGTCTCGGCGCCGCTCCGGTGAGTGCCTGTGGCAGGGCTGGCGGAGCCTTGGCTGGGCATAGCCCCGGGGTCGTATGTGGGCGCCCGGCCTGAAGCCCACTAGCGGCGGCTGCACTGCCCGCGGTGCTTGGGTTTGAACAGAGCTCAGCACCAGACGTGCACAGGCCCCTGGAGCTCGGAGCCAGCTCGCAGGGATGTGCCCTAGAGCCCTGAGTGGTGTGTCACTGCTCCACGCCCTGGTACAGCACAGGTGACTCACAGGATCTGTGATATGTACATGTTATTTGGCCATTTTCTTCCTGGATCCTGGCCTTGTGCGACAGGACGTGGGTGCAGGCGGTCTGGAGAGGGGCTTCCTCTCCCTTATCAGATGAGGTGATGTAGCTGGTACCTCTGCTTGGTGCTCAGACACATTTCTCCGTCAAGCTGGTTTGCAGTGCTCACTAGTGAAGTACATGAGCTGCAGGAAATACTCCTCATGTCATAATCCTGTTCTCTGTGGCTTGGGTATGACAATAAGTCTTCAATTTTATTTACTGATAACTTTTTTTCAGGGTGAGCGAGAGAAGCAGGAGCAAATTGAGGTCCAGAAAGAGAAGCACAGAGAGCTGATCCTGCAGCTCAAGACACAGCTGGATGACCTAGAGACCTTTGCTTACCAAGAGGGCAGCTATGATTCTCTGCCACAGTCTGTGGTTATGGAAAGACAACGGGTAAGGCTCACAAATCCTCCTGCTGTATTTCCTAGCCCTTGTGAGTGTCTCACAGACTGTAGGCACTCATCAGTCTGTATTTCTCACCAGCAGCTATAACAGTGTCAGGAGTTTGTCTACATGTGTGCACCTGTCCCGTGTCTTTTGCAATTATTTCTGTGCAGCAAAGGTATCCTGTTTCTGAACCTCTAGGATTGAAGCTCTGGGGCAGCAGTGTCAGATGGTGAAATTGCACTGCTCACTTGTGTTTTGCAGATGATTATAAATGAGTTGATAAAGAAGCTCGACATGGACTTGAGTGAAGATTTTGCAACGCTCTCTCCAGAGGAACTGCGGCAGCGGGTGGATGCTGCCATAGCACAGATTGTGAATCCAGCCAGGGTGAAGGAGCAGCTGGTGGAACAACTGAAGACCCAGATAAGGGACCTCGAAATGTTCATCAACTTCATTCAGGGTCAGTGAGGAGTTTTTAGATGAGCAGACTGAATTGTTTTGTTATTCCCTTATGTAGTCATGAGGAAGAAGGTGACGGATGTCAGGAGATGCAGGAACAGCTTCTGGGTCACAGGAAAGTACAAATCCCTCTAATTGATAGTGAAGAAAAGTGTTGATAGAGTGATGAAAGAGGTTCCAGAGGGGTCTGAGGAATGCTGACCTTAATACTCGGGATATGCAGCTGAAATTCACAAATGTGAAATAATGATGTGAAATCCTTTTTGTAGATGAAGTTGGAAGCTCTGGCAAGGCAGAAGATGGCCACTGTGACTGTGGAGGCTCCTATAAACCCAGCACCCGGCCTTCTGGGAACAGAGGTGGGCACTGCTGGGCTCAGCACTGTCAGCAAAGCTCCAGCTCCTCCCTGGAGCTTTGATGAGCACAAACCAGTCATTGTCTGCTTTTTCCTGGCAGCTGGTTTCTGTGCTTCTGCACTCCCTCTGCTGAAGGCCTGTGTCCTGTTCCTTTACCCTCCTTCCATGGGATCCTCAGAGTAGTCACGGAGCCTGAACATGTGGCGTGGAGAGTGGGCTCGGTCCTCAGTGGGGGGTCAGGAATAGATTGCTGATACTTGGTGCAATTACTTGGTGTAATTCATGTTCTTCAAGCTCTGAGCTCTGTTAGCAAGTACAGTGAGCTGGGGGGATCCAGTGTTCTTTAGAGCTTGAGACCTCCCTTATCCCTTGAACCTGCTGGAAATACAGTAATGTAGCATGAGGCCTATGCTGCTACTCAGAATGCTAGCCTGAAGGGATTTTCAGATGTTTGCACTCTCTTTGTGTGTATGAACAAGCAGAGTTGTTGACTCCCAATGAGAGTATATTTTTTTCTTTTCTAACCTGGTCAGTGAACCCAGAAGATGCCAGAAGGATGCAAGAAACAGGCCTGCAGCTCATGCGCCGCATGCTGGCCGTGCTGCAGATCTTTGCTGTGAGCCAGTTTGGCTGTGCCACGGGTCAGATCCCTCGCACCCTCTGGCAGAAGGACCAAGACAACCAGGACTTCTCCCCCTTAATTGAGAAACTGGAGCTGTCGGTGGAGCGGGTGAGGCAGCTTGCCCTGAAACACCAGCAGGCAGAGCATGTTATCAGCTCCTCTGAGCTGCAGGACGTTCCCCTGGGAGGCAGAGACGAGCTGACTCTGGCTGTGCGCAGGGAGCTGACGGTCGCTCTGCGGGACCTGATGGCTCACGGGCTCTACGCCTCTTCCCCAGGCATGAGCCTGGTGTTGGCCCCCATCGCATGCCTGATTCCTGCGTTCACGCCCTCACCGCGGACCATGCACCCCTGGGAACTCTTTGTCAAGTATTACAACGCTAAGAACGGACAAGCCTTTGTGGAATCCCCAGCTCGCAAGCTCTCCCAGTCCTTCGCCTTGCCTGTGACAGGAGCAGTGGTGGCTACCCCGAAGCAGAGCCTGCTGGCAGCCATCCACACGGTGCTCACGGAGCACAGCCCCTTCAAGCGCAGCGCAGACTCAGAGCTGAAGGCGCTGGTGTGCATGGCGCTGAACGAGCAGCGCTTGGTTTCGTGGCTCAACCTCATCTGCAAGTCTGGAGCTTTGGTTCAGTCTCACTACCAGCCCTGGAGCTACATGGCCAACACCGGTTTCGAAAGTGCACTCACCCTCCTCAGCCGCCTGAGCAACTTGAAGTTCAACCTCCCAGTTGACTTGGCTGTTCGGCAGCTGAAAAACATCAAAGATGCTTTTTGATGTGTTTTTATTGTAGATCATCCATTTTCCACTAGTAGGCAGCTGTTGGGCTCAAGAAGCCTGGCTTTTGTAAGACCAAGTTTGTCATTGGTGTTTGCTTTTAGGGAAATCTTAGGGTGTCATGATGTTGGCAGTGTGTTGTCCAATGCTGTCCCTGTAGAGCAGCTGGAGGCCGCAGGTTGGGCAGCACCTCCCCCTGCCCGATCTCTGCTGCTCTCAGGTCAAACTACCCTGCCCAGTGGTCAGTGACTGTTTAGGGGTCGGGGACAGAGGCCTGGCCATGGGGGAAGGCCCGTGGGATGTGCAGCTGAGCTCCTTTGTGGTTATTTCTCACAGTCTCTGCACAGGATCCCTCATGGAGGAGAGAGCTGGCAGGTGTTTGAGGTACCTTGGGGGCTGCCTGGTCACATGGGACTTGACCTTCCGCCGGTGGATGTAGGAGAAGATGGGACCGATCCAGAGATGCCCAGGGGCTCCTCCAGCGGCTCTGCAGACTGTGTCCCTTGGGCTGCCGGGGTGCTTTGTCCAACGGACCCAGCTCCTTGTTCCAGGCTTTTGTGTGGGTCAGCGCAGCCCAGTGTCTAGCAGGGTGTATTAAATACCGCTGTGGTACCTGTGGGCTGAGCCCGCCGCCGTCCCGTGTGCTCTGTCCGTTACCGGGGCTGTGACGTGCCGCCCGCCGTGCCCGGGGAGGGCGGAGGAGGGCAGACACCCGGCACCGCCGTG